GCTGTGTGTGTGTGTGTGTGTGTGTGTGTGTGTGTGTGTGTGTGTGTGTGTGTGTGTGTGTGTGTGTGTGTGTGTGTTCAGAGCTCTCAGAACCCACCGACAGGTCGCTGGTGTTGGATGCTGAAGAAAGCAGCAACATTTGCATGTCAGCATTCATTCACTGTGCTAGGTGGCGCTGTCGTGCCTCTCAACGTGCGGCCGCAGAAGATGCTGCGGTCCGGAGAGTGCAGCTCTGCCGGGTGACCTGTAGGGGCGCCCTCTGCTGTTTCTAATCGTTCTGTGAACAAACTGCACTTGAACGCACCGTGACTTTCACATCATCCACTTTTATTTATTTAACATCAAAAGTCAAAGACACTTTTATTTAAACATTTTGTGGTTCTGTGTCAGAGACTGGACTGATCCAGAACCTGCCACAGTCCGGACCTGGTCGGCTCCTCAGGTGTTCTGGGAGTCGGTTTACTTCAGAACCTGCAACGTACTGCAGCTGTTCTCTACAGTAAAGTGTAAATAAACGGAGATGAAGTATTTTATCTCGTAATGTTGTGATCTGATCTCAAAGATGTGGAACTGGCAACGGTTCTGTTTGACTGATTGGTTTCAAACCCCGGTTCAGCTGTTGGTGTCATCGAGCAGAAGCAGTTTGTAGCAGGATGCCAATAAAGTTTTAAACCCATAATCAACAGCATCAGCTAGTCGTCAGTTAATCAATAATCCAAACTGATCACAGTGGACTCTGTGCAGATGTTCAGTCCACAGCCTCGTGGTCGTCTCCTCAGTCAGTTCAGTTCCATCGGTTCCTCTGATCCAGACACTCTGTGGACCCAGCTCGTTGGCCTCCTCAGAGTCTCTGTCATGTGACCGTGTCCAGCTAAACCCACAGTGCACACTACAAATACGCTGGATCTGGACTTCTCTTGTTTAATCATCTTTATTTGGTATCTTAATCTTGACACAACAACTAACGGTGTCGACCCAGCAGAGGCCTGACTGGTCCAGTCTGGACCCAAAACTCCAGTCTGGTCCGACGAGTCCTCAGGTGTTCTGGTGACAAGTTCCGCTGAGGACCTTATAACACATCACATTCACATCGAGCAGTTCAGTCAGCAGGAACGCGTCTGGTGTCGCTCACACCTGCACACCTCACCAGGTAGAACCCAGCAGGACCAGGTCCAACTCACAGAGTCCCTGCTGGGCTCCAGTCTGCTCCCATGCCCCACTGGGATCACGGTCCTGGGGGTCCTGGAGGTCCTGGAGGTCCTGGAGCAGCAGCAGCTCCCTCAGGCTCTGAGTGCAGACCTGAACACCTGGACAGGTAAGTTCAGCATTAGTTTCTACTGTTAGAATTCTGCTTGTGTTTCCACAACACCTGGTTCTCTGTGAAGGATTCATGTCTACTTGGAGGAACATGACGTCATTCTTCTCTGTGGACCTTGTGGATATGCAGCCTTCATATCTGACTGATGGGGTCGATGCAGGAGCCACGTGTCACCTGTGTTGTGTTTAGAAGCTAACTGGTGTTTCATCAGCAGCCGTCCGCCGATGTTGTGACTCAGTGACTCGTGTTCATAGTCGGATGTTTTCTGTCTCATGGTCTTGATGTGCTGCTGCTGTATGTTCAAGTTTGACATTTAGCTGTTCAAACAACAGAGCTGGTATCATCTGGGTTTAGCATTTAAAATGTAGATTTAGGATCTCACAATCATTCTTATCTGACTGTTGGAAACCACGTCTCCATAGCAACCTGAAGCCTGGTGTTTGGGAGGTTCTCACTGTTCTCAGTGTCATCTATGTTCTGGGAGTTCTCTGGGACTCACAGCGTCTCGGCGGGCTGGAACCGGTTCTCCTCTCCGTCCAGGATGCCGTGGTACATGCCGATCTCCTGCTCCAGCCGCTGCTTGTTGCTCAGCAGCGTGTCGTAGTCGCGGCGCTGCTGGTCGATCTCGCCGCGGACGTCGGCGAGCTCCGCCTCCAGCTTGGCCACCACCGAGCCCAGGTTCTGCAGCTCCATGTCGTGCCAGTGCCGGGCGTCGCTCAGCGAGTTCTCCAGACCCCGTTTCTGCAAGACGACAGGTTTGAGGTTAGGAACTGACCGAACCAATCAGGTCACGGATCGATCGCAGCGTCTCACCAGCGCTCGGATGGACTCGGTCTCGGCCTGCAGGCTCTGAATCTTGCAGCCGGTATCGTTGCATTCGGCCTTCAGCGCCTCCACCTGCTCCTCCTCAGGACTCAGCCTGCTGCTCACACACTGCGCCTCCTGCAGGAGAACACAGGTCAGACACGCTGCAGAAACACCTGCGAGGACACCTGTGCAGGTGAGCGTCCTCACCTTACACTCCAGGTAGCTGTCGGTCTCGGCCCGGTTCCTCTCCGTCACCTTCTCCCAGTGGCTCCTGATGTAGGCCAGGATCTGGTCCAGACTGGTTTCTATGGGAGCGTCGGGTTCGTCCACCTCCCGTCCAGCCATCTGACTGTAGAGGACTCGCACATCCTGCAGCGACAGGAAGTGCTCAGGTCACATGACGTTATTGATTAGACACAGTCTGGAGCCAGAACAACAACTAATTAGTCCTTAAAGTAACAATGTTCTGTTTCCTTTCTGCCAATGATGAGTTCTTATCATTAAATCATAGAAAAACAAAAAATATGATCTCAGCAGTTTTTACATTTTTATATTAGATTCACATTTTAAACCTTTGAATCTTAAAAAAAACTAAATTCATCAGTTAAATACTAAAGAAAGCACAAACATGACTATGAGTTGTTTGTCTGATCACTGCTTCCTCTGCATCACTGCACATTTCATTTTCTGTTCCTTCTGAAAAAACAAACCTTTAATGACAGAAGAAGGAAAGTAAATGTACTAAACAATGTGTTTTTGTTGAACTGACAGCTCTGTTCATGAGTTAAAGCTGCTAATTAATGATAATCAGTGTGAAAGCTTTTGGCCGTAGAAACACTGTGAATGGAGTCAACGGTTTCAATGCTGTGTGGTTTGATTGGACTAAATCGTGTGTTTTTTGAATGGAATCTGGTGGAACCTGCTCGTGGTTCTGCTCCAGGCTGCGCAGCTCCACCAGCATGTTCTCCATCTGCTCCTCGAGCTCCGCCTTCGTCAGGTTCGCCTCATCGATCACTTTGTACAGCGAGCTGATCTCCTCCTCCACCGCCCTCCTGAAGGGCTGCTCGTTCTCGTACCTGTAGGCGGAGCTACAGTTACTACATCTCCTGTGGG